ATTGCTGCACAGAAGACGTATCTTGATTTATGCTAATAGGCTTTTATCCCAATTGAATTTTAGGATTTGTGATTCTTAATTAAAACCATCTTTTTTATTCGAGTTTAAGAAACCATATGGAGGTCTCAGTTCAAAGAATTTATAAGCTTTTCGAAAGGTAACTTTCAAAAAAAGGAATTTAAAAATTGCTTTTCTTCCGGAACTCGAATAAGAACAAATTGGTGGAAATTTGAGAATCACAAATCCTAAAATCTGATTGGGATAAAAGCTTATCCACGATTAGTAGATGAAACTTCAACATATCATACCGTAAAGCCTAGTAATCCAGCGCTTCTCACACCGAGTTTGCGCTCAAAAAATGCGTAAGATAGTGCTCCCAATATACCCATGACTGATCCATATGATCTTAAAGGAGCATCTATAAATGATGTAGGCACTGATGATGACACTGTGAAACTCACCTGAAGGCTCCAACCACAGCATCAGAAAGACCAGATGATTCTCCATATCCAACTGCTAACTGTAAAAGCCAGATCAATCTGTGATTATCAGGGAAAAAATATCATACTCCATCGAAACCCATGACAGTCATGAATAATAAAGCCATGCCAAAAGCCGCTGCTACTACTGTCTGGTGTATGTAGGTCGATATTACATTAGGTATACTCTTTAGGGCTTCAGCAATCTTCTGCGACAATGTTGCAGGTTTGTTTTCTAAAGATCTTTTTCTTGAGATTTGCACTGCAGCAGAGAGAAGAAATAATAGCGAAACAATGGCTTACCATTACTTTTGTTCTTCCCATCAGTTCCTTTGTTTTCTTTAATAGCCAGTGCTGGATTTTTCTTATATAGCGAACGCAAGAAGAATGCCTTTGACAACATCGAAACCAAACTAAGTCCGCCAAAGATTGCGCATGTCACTCGAAGACTGAAGGCTGTCACAAGTACCTGAACTTAGATATTGGTACTTTGGCTTACAACCATTTTCGCCATTGCAGTGGGGATACACCTTGCAAAGGATAAATGGACAAACGTTCAAATTCAGGAATAAGGACAATTTAGCATGCCTCCTAAGTATCGAGTTTTTTTTACTCGATTTGCTGGCCAAATAAAGCAACAGTTTAGAATTTGAAGACATTCGGAGAATGTTTTAAAAATTGCCAAAACTTCTTGATTCTTGAGAGCAGACATTCTTATGAACATCTATTATGAGCGCTGCGTAACACTTAAATTTGACCCCGAACTCTATCAGAAGTTTCATTCACTTTAGATCGAAGTCTACACGGCTATGTATTAGCGTAAAATAAATGAGTCTAGTGTGACTGCAGTGTACGTGTCCAACTTTACTAAAAATAGATTATTATTTTTATTTTGACGTTCTTTTCCTTAGTTTTTTGACTTTGCCTGTTGCCTTTCTCTCATGCTCTTCGTGTTCTCTTCTTTTTTCATAATGACATCTTCAAACATTCATACTTAGGCTTTAATCAACTTACAAAAGCCTGTCATCTGATTGGCGTAGGCTGGCCAAAATTGAATTTCCTAAAAGTTAACTAACATGGTTGTTTAATATGCTAATCACGAATGCTATGCTCTTTTCG